AATAAGAAAAAAATTATCTAAAAATGTAAATACAATACTAAAATAAATAGCTTATTGTCCTAAGTAACAAAAGAGAAGAGGTAAACAACAAGGGATCGTTAATATATAAAAATACTTTGTTATAAAATGAAAAAAGACAAACAATAAAGACAAGAGAAAGAACAATACACAAGTGATAAAAAGTATAATTATTCTTATTAGATTATTGTTACTAAAATATTTATAACTATTTTTTGTGTTGAATAAAATTAGGCTTTTAAAGACTAAGTTGACCCATTCAGACTCAGGAGATGATTTGCATGTATGTATGTATGCATGTATGTATGTATGTATGTATGTGTACATGTCGGCAGTAGTGGGATCTCCGGTATATAAACAGCGCGGCGCAGCTTTCAACATCACTCTCTTGCTCAGACTCCCAGAGGAACAACTGCCCAGGTAAACAACTCACTGATATACAACTTATACAACTATACATGGAGTATACTGAGGTATTGTTCTCCCTATAACAGTGTTCTTCAGCTGGGCAGAAGAACAAACTTAATGGTTGTACACGCTCGTAACCTTCAGGTGAATTACACTTTGTAAACACGAGATAAAACCTCTTGGTGAAACTCACCGACACAACACAGTAGGGAAGAGAAACACTAATGTATGTATTGTGTTGTTGTGGCAGAACATGTGTGGTAGAGTGGCTGTGGTGGTGCTGGCTGTGGTGGCGGCGGTGGTGGCTGAGCCAGGCTTCAAGTTTGGTAAAGGAAGATGTCACCCGCGGGTGCACTACAAACCTCACTACGTCACACACTACCAGAAGGTCAGTACTGAGTGTCTCGTGTTCTCGTGTTTGGTTTATCTCAACTATAAAAGATCTTAGGCAGTTATTGACACATTAGTTCACCTTTGTTAACACATTCTAATTAACTAAATGTTGTGTACACACAACAGTCGTCAGCCATGTTGGGTCTAGAGTCACCTTATAGTTACCATTGTTATTAATTTATCGTATTTTAATGATCCTTCCTGGTAAATAATCCCAACTTAGTGACAATACGAGAGGATGAACTTACGATACTTTTGAGAAGAATGAAATGGTATGAGATGGAGATGAGGATAACTTAGAGTTTATAAAGGCATAAGTGCACAGTTTGTTGACATTGTGTTGGTGTGTCAGGTGGTGTTAATGGCGGTGTTTGTGGCGTTGTTACAGGTGCCGGTCTACCACACAGTCTACAAGGAACGTATCATCCACCCCACCGTCTACCACACAGTGTACAAGACTCAGTACCAGAACGACTACCACACAAAGTACGTTCCCAAGTACGAAACTAAGACCGTCTACGAGACCAAGGACGAGCACGTACCTCACTACGAGACCAAATACGAGACCAAGTACCAACCCCATTATGCTACCACTACCCAGTACGTCCCAACCTACGTCACCAAGAACCAGTACCAGACACAGTACCACACCACGTCCCAGTACCAGACCGTGTATAGTACTAACTACGTGCCACACTATGTGACCACGACCCAGGTCCAGTACCACACCCAGTACCAGACCAAACAGGTACCAGAGTACCACACGGTGACCAAGACCAAGCAGACCTACCAGACCGTCTGCCCACAACCATCTTATGGCTACCACTGAGGACCTGACAACAACCACACACCAACCTGCCACAGTGTCTTCCTCACTTGTCTTCCTCAGACCAAATACGATTTTTAATGTTAATTTGTTTTATGTTAATTGATGTTAAATAAATATATATTTTGACCCACAACTGAGTTTGTTGTTCCTTATGTGAAGAGATAATATTATAGGTACTGAAACCTTTTGTAAATACTGTAATATTTCCTTCATCGTGTAAGTCCAAAAATTAGCAAATCTTTGACAAACTGTTCAGCCATTTATTGTATCAAAATCTGGGATAATCTAAACACGGATAAAATATAAAAGGTCCAGGTGACATTAGTGAGTTATAAAAGGTGTTTAAAGTTATCAAGACTTGTTAACAAGGCTGAACAAGACCTGATCCTGGGCTGAGTGTCTTGTGATGGTTTACTTGTTGTCTGTAATAATGTTCAGTAGAAGCAGAAGCAACACAGTGTTAAGGTGTTGTGTTGCCAGTAGTGTTGGAGGTAAGTTGTTCTGCTGAGTGTGTCGGCAAGGAAAGTTTATGTGATCTAACTTTGTCTAGAATAAAAGTATAATTAATGCTTCTCTAACTTTTTAATATTATTTTGAGGAAAGTTTTAACTAAATCATAATTTAAAACTTAAACCACCAATTACGTCACAGAGACGAGACCAATAATATTATTGTTAAGATAAAACATTAGTTTTAGTTATAATAATTAAGGATTAAATTTGTAAACCAGAAAGTATAGTTATAAATATTTGAGCCTCTTGTGACAACCGTTGACCAAACATTTACCTTCATTATAAATTACTTAAGAATCTCCCATGATCGGTTAAGCCTCCGGCCACAATAACCGGTTAACATTATAAATCTCTCACAAATTATTATCAACTTTAACCCAACACTTATAGTCATTGTTGACGTCACATTATGTAGTGTTTAGACTAACACACACACACACACACACATACACACATACACACACACACACTAGTACTACTACTACTTTGCTGTCACTCGGAATCGAGTATGACGATCATCCAGGTATGATACAATGATATGAGTTATTAAGGATGTCATCAACGTTGGTAAGTTCTGAAGTGCCTAAAGATACGGGACAGGCAGGGCCGTTCACAGATGTTGCACATGTGGGGGCCTACATCTAGTGCGGGAGGGGCGGTGGCAGCGTGTTTCCGACGTTATCTTAGTTTGCAGTCGGGCTAACTCGAAAGTATTGTCACCTTCTTGCGTTACTGTGTGAAGTAATCGTCTCCCAGGTGAGGGGGTCGATTTGGCACTTTTTCAGTTTTGTCTTAAGACTATCCTTATACCTTTTCAGTTGTCCACCGGCGTTACGTTTACTATTCGTTAGGTGACTATAAAGTGGGAGCTTTGGAAGTCTACTGTCGTCCATGCAGGTAACATGGCCAGTCCAGCGTAGTTGTTCATGCATAGTGGTTACCTCGATGCTCCTACAGTTGGTGTTAGAGGGAATACTGGCATTTTTCTCTTGTCTTCCCAGTGAACTCGAAGGATGGAACGTAGACTACGTTGTTGAAAGTTTTCCAGTGGTTTGAGGTGCCTCCTGCATGTGACTCATGTCTCGCTACCATATAAAAAGGTGGGGAGGACCACTGCTCGATATACATGCAACTTTGTAGAGATTTTCAGCTCCCTACAGCTGAAGACACTGGTACGGTGTCTGCCAAAGGCTTGAGATGCACATCTGGTCCGATGTTGAATATCTTCATCGATGTCCGCGGTGGTGGACAGGTGGGAGCCGAGATACCGAAAGTAGTATCGTTAAGCTGGATGGATGATGGAGGAGTGGCTGAAACAGGGGCAAGCTGAAAGAGAATCTGAGTCTTACCTACATTCACCTCAAGGCCGAAGTGTGCATACGAATCTGCGTTGGTGTTCAGGATCTCTTGTAGGTCGCGTTCAGTGTGAGCGACAAGGGTGAGGTCGTCAGCATACTGAAGTAGAGTAATGCTAGTGCTGACACCTTTGTTCCTGCCTGGAGTCGTTTTATGTTGAAAACACCCTTCATCCGGTATTGGATGTCCACTCCGCCGGATAAATTGGCACTGGCACGAGTAAGGAAGGCAGCCAAGAAAATGGAAACGTGTGTTGGTGCCAGTACACATCCTTGTTTTACCACCTCATAATGGCGATGAATTTTGGTGGACAGCCCAAACGGCTGAGGGTCCGCCAGAGGGCTTCCCTGTTGACCGAATCGAAGGCCTTGGGTAGATCGATAAAGGCCATGTACAGGTCACAACGCTGTTCTCTGCACTTTTTCTGCATCTGGCAGACAGCATAGATCATATCAGTGGTGACACACACACACACACACACACACACACACATATATATATATATATATATATATATATATATATATATATATATATATATATATATATATATATATATATACACACATTAAGCCTCAAATTATGAAAAAATATATATATTCAAATAGAAATCGTGTAGAGTTTGTTCAGCCATCTTGATCTTATAAATAGTAAGTTAGGATTATAAGTAAGTTAAGTGTAGGTTAAGTGAGATAAAGTCTCTTAGTAACACTGTTAGTCTCCTGCAGGTGAGAGACAAGGAACTAGTAGAGATTATTGATGAGAGATAGAGAAGTTAATAGGAAGGTTTCGTTAATGAGAAATAACGAGAGACTACAGAAGAGGACGTGATAAATAGGGAATATAGTTATGGGTAAATAGGGTTATCAATAAGAAATATGGCGAAAAAATAGGTGGAACTCTTAATTACGGTTCAGTTACGATAAATAGGGAAATCAATAGGAAGGTTTCGTAAATATATAAAAAATAGCAAAAATACATTAGTGGAACATCTAAATGGAAGAAAACATATCGATAGGTGTTGTAAATAATAAATAATAAGAAAAAAATTATCTAAAAATGTAAATACAATACTAAAATAAACAGCTTATTGTCCTAAGTAACAAAAGAGAAGAGGTAAACAACAAGGGATCGTTAATATATAAAAATACTTTGTTATAAAATGAAAAAAGACAAACAATAAAGACAAGAGAAAGAACAATACACAAGTGATAAAAAGTATAATTATTCTTATTAGATTATTGTTACTAAAATATTTATAACTTATTTTTTGTGTTGAATAAAATTAGGCTTTTAAAGACTAAGTTGACCCATTCAGACTCAGGAGATGATTTCCATGTATGTATGTATGTATGTATGTATGTATGTATGTATGTATGTATGTATGTATGTATGTATGTGTGTGTACATGTAGGCAGTAGTGGGATCTCCGGTATATAAACAGCGCGGCGCAGCTTTCAACATCACTCTCTTGCTCAGACTCCCAGAGGAACAACTGCCCAGGTAAACAACTCACTGATATACAACTTATACAACTATACATGGAGTATACTGAGGTATTGTTCTCCCTATAACAGTGTTCTTCAGCTGGGCAGAAGAACAAACTTAATGGTTGTACACGCTCGTAACCTTCAGGTGAATTACACTTTGTAAACACGAGATAAAACCTCTTGGTGAAACTCACCGACACAACACAGTAGGGAAGAGAAACACTAATGTATGTATTGTGTTGTTGTGGCAGAACATGTGTGGTAGAGTGGCTGTGGTGGTGCTGGCTGTGGTGGCGGCGGTGGTGGCTGAGCCAGGCTTCAAGTTTGGTAAAGGAAGATGTCACCCGCGGGTGCACTACAAACCTCACTACGTCACACACTACCAGAAGGTCAGTACTGAGTGTCTCGTGTTCTCGTGTTTGGTTTATCTCAACTATAAAAGATCTTAGGCAGTTATTGACACATTAGTTCACCTTTGTTAACACATTCTAATTAACTAAATGTTGTGTACACACAACAGTCGTCAGCCATGTTGGGTCTAGAGTCACCTTATAGTTACCATTGTTATTAATTTATCGTATTTTAATGATCCTTCCTGGTAAATAATCCCAACTTAGTGACAATACGAGAGGATGAACTTACGATACTTTTTGAGAAGAATGAAATGGTATGAGATGGAGATGAGGATAACTTAAAGTTTTATAAAGGCATCAGTGCACAGGTTGTTGACATTGTGTTGGTGTGTCAGGTGGTGTTAATGGCGGTGTTTGTGGTGTTGTTACAGGTGCCGGTCTACCACACAGTCTACAAGGAGCGTATCATCCACCCCACCGTCTACCACACAGTGTACAAGACTCAGTACCAGAACGACTACCACACAAAGTACGTTCCCAAGTACGAAACTAAGACCGTCTACAAGACCAAGGACGAGCACGTACCTCACTACGAGACCAAATACGAGACCAAGTACCAACCCCATTATGCTACCACTACCCAGGACGTCCCAACCTACGTCACCAAGAACCAGTACCAGACACAGTACCACACCACGTCCCAGTACCAGACCGTGTATAGTACTAACTATGTGCCACACTATGTGACCACGACCCAGGTCCAGTACCACACCCAGTACCAGACCAAACAGGTACCAGAGTACCACACGGTGACCAAGACCAAGCAGACCTACCAGACCGTCTGCCCACAACCATCTTATGGCTACCACTGAGGACCTAACAACAACCACACACCAACCTGCCACAGTGTCTTCCTCACTTGTCTTCCTCAGACCAAATACGATTTTTAATGTTAATTTGTTTTATGTTAATTGAGGTTAAATAAAAGTATATTTTGACCCACAACTGAGTTTGTTGTTCCTTATTTGAAGAGATAATATTATAGGTACTGAAACCTTTTGAAAGTAATAAAGGTAGATTGTATTTTAATGTATGTAAACACTCTAATACAAACACCTTGATAAAGACTTTACTGTAGAAACACCCGGGAAAATCTTCACCATAACCGGAAATAAGATCTTACGAAAAAAATAAAAATAAAAATAGGAACACTTCTGAACATGTCTGAAGATGTTTGGATATGTCCTAACAAGTTCGAATACCTCTGAACAAGAATTGGTCATTGGTTGAGTTACTTCTGATGTTTTACGTGATGTTTTACCTGCTTCTGTACTAATGTTTGTGAGATACGAACCTAAAGAGTAACGATACGACCCAAGAGGTACATGCAGGCCTTCACCCACTAACATTTCTTGACGTTAAGACATTTACCGAGAAAAAAGAAACAGTATTTTAAAGAGGAGTTCTTACAGGTATTTCAGGTTATTTGATACATTAGACTGAACATGACTCAATATAGTTAATGAAATTGTTTATGGATCACATGAAGATTAAACACCCGAGCTTATTTTTACTTGACAATTAAACACCTTGACGCTACCTGACGGGTTTTGGTAAGGTTAGGTTAAGTTGGGTTAAGTTATGTTAGGTTAATCTAAGTTAGAGTTGGGTTAAGTTAGGTTAGGTTAGTATTAGGTTACGTTAAGTTTAGCTAAGGTTAAGGTGGATAGTTTATATTAGGTTAAATTAATGTTAGGTTAGGTTAAGATAAATTAATATTAAAATGGTTAGATTAGGTTCAGTTAAATTAATATTAACGATAAATAATTTTTATAAAAACCACACAACAAAATAACAACAATTACTATTTCACAAAACATAAGAAAATCACCATAATAAACCATCAATAACATAGAAATCACAGCTCACAGGTCAATCACAGCGTACCATAGAAATACCAGTGATTAGATGGTAAAAAAATCACATCAATAACCCGCTGTGTACACTTGACGCATGATTGAGTGACGCAACACCGCACACGAGAAAATCAAAACAAACTTTCCTTCCTCTTGTTGTTGTTAGTTGTTTTTGTTAATTTTATTTGTTTTTGTAGTTTTTTGTTTTTATTCTCTTTGTTTTTATTCTTGTTTTCGTTGTTGTTGTTGTTGTTGTTGTTGTTTTTTGTTGTTGTTCTTGCTCTCATTTGTCATCGTCTTTTTTCTTCTTCTTCTTCTTCTTCTTCTTCTTCTTCCCTTATTTACCTTAACATTCATCATTATCTATTTTTAGCATTTACTTAATTTTAATTCTTTTTTTTAATCTATTATCATTTTCTAACGTAGGAATACAGAGGAAAACCAACAAATAAATTTAACATAATCAACTTACATATTAACATTAATAACACTGTCCCGTATAACACTGTCCCGTATAACACAATAGACTTTATCTACGTGTGCTTATATGTATACAACTCCCTATAGACACTTTTAGCAACACTGACGTCATTTATTTCAGGGTCATGTTGTCAGGGGGCGGTGGGGGGGGGGAGAGGGAGGAAGGAGTGGAGGAGAGGGGGAAGGGGTGAGCGAGAGTTAGGTTAGGTCAGGTTAGCTTCGGTTAGGTTAGGTCAGGCTAGTGCTCAGGTCAGGTCAGGTTAGGTCAGGTCAGGTTAGGTCAGGCCAGTGCTCAGGTCAGGTCAGGCTAGTGCTCAGGTCAGGTCAGGTTAGGTCAGGTCACGTTAGGTCAGATTAGGTTATGTTAGGTTAGGTCAGGTTAGCTTAGGTCAGGTTAGGTCAGGTTAGTTTTCAGGTGTTTTATCATCAGGTGAAACAAACTGACGCACCTAACCTCCCCCATAACTCCTCAAGTCAGTCAACAATAAGATGAGTTTTTGAGTGGAGAAATTTGCCTCGTGTTGTTTGTATCTCTCTCTGTTTATCTTCACTACCACCAGCCGTAGAGGGCGGTGGTAGTGAAGATAAGTAGGATCTCCGGTATATAAACAGCGCGGCGCAGTTTTCATCATCAGTCTCTTGCGCAGACTCCCAGAGGAACAACTGCCCAGGTAAACAACTCACTCGTTTATAACACTTTACCTGATACACAGCAAATTCACGAGACGCAAAGAATATATTGTTGTATTTTTGTAGTATAATTTATGTCTCTTTTGCTATATAAGTGTTATATGGATAAAATATCACCTAACCTAACCTAACCTAACCCTCCCCTCCCAGGTAGAGTTAAAGTATTTAATCATCAGGTAAAATAATCTCGGGGTGTTAATCTTCAGGTGATCCCAGACACTGTTCCTATCGACTCATATCAACAGAGCAGAAATAGAACGAATTCATATGTTTATTGTTCACGTCACAAGGGAGCGTCAGTGCAGGCAGAAGGCGAGCGAACTTTCGTCAAGCAGAGGTTCAGGGTGTTAGTGGGTGATGGAGAGGAACGCCTGGCGATATAGAGTGCTCGTGGTGGCATTAATATTGTGGTAATGATCTCAGGTGTAAAAACTAACTCACCTGTTTAATTCCTACCTCTATATTCCACCTGTCAGAACATGTGTGGTAGTGTGGCTGTGGTGGTGATGGCTGTGGTGGCGGTGGCTGTGGTGGCTGACCCAGGCTTCAAAGGACGTCGCTGTCACCCCCAAGTTCACTACCTCCCTCACTACGTCAACCACTACGAGAAAGTAAGACGTGGTTAGATGTATCTGGCCGAGGTGTTACCAACCTAGTGTGTCACCTTAAAACCAAAACAAACTTTGCTAATTAAAACCGAAAGTCTCATATATTTTTACTATTTTCTGATGAATGATCTTTACAAAAATACTTAGGGAATTTAAAAGAAGATATAAATTTGAAGTTACTGATTAAATAATGTATCAGGAAGATGAGGATAACTTATGAGTTTTATAAAGGCGTAAGTCCACAGTTTGTTGACATTGTGTTGGTGTGTCAGGTGGTGTTAATGGCGGTGTTTGTGGTGTTGTTACAGGTGCCGGTCTACCACACTGTCTACAAGGAACATGTCGTCCCTACCACCGTCTACCACACTGAATACGAGACGCAGTACCAGAACGACTACCACACAAAGTACGTTCCCGAGTACGTCACTACGACCATTTACGAGACCAAGGACGAGTACGTTACCAAGTACGAGAGCAAATACGAGACCAAGTACCAACCCCATTATGCTACCACCACCAAGTACGTTTCACACTACGTCACCAAGACACAGTACCAAAGCACGTACCACACCACGGCCAAGTACCAGACCGTGTATAGTACCAAATATGTACCTCACTATGTAACTACGACTCAAGGTTACCACCAGACGAAACACGGACCAAAACACCTCGTCACGGTGACCAAAACTCAGTACATTAACCATACAGTCTGTCCACCACCTGTGCATACCTAACCTAACCTAACCTAACCAAACCTAACCAAACCAAACCTAACCTAACCAAACCTAACTTAACCAAACCTAGCCAAACCTAACCTAGCCAAACCTAATCTAACCTAACCTAACCAAACCTAACCAAACCTAATCTAACCAAACCTAACCTAACCCCATTGTGTTGACTATGTTTGTGTTATGTTCTGTTAATATATCTTGTTTGTTAATATTTTGTGTTAATAATAAAGTTTTAACATTTAACTTAGTATTCATGTTATTATGAACCTCTGGTAATTATTCTTATATTGTTTCTGTCTGTTTTAAATTGCAAGACATAAATTTTTAATGAAAACTTTGATTAAAATAGTTGTTTTAGGTTATTTTGATACATACATACATACATACATACATACATACAAACGTAAATACATACATGCATACATACATACATACATACATACATACATACATACATACATACATACATACTGATCTATAAATTTGTCAACTTTATCACGTGGAAGTTTGTGACAGAGAGTGAAGGTGTTGTGCCCCAGGTAAGTCTTCGGCAACTTTCTTACATCACCTGGTTTGAAACATCAGTTCTTACTTGAGTATAAACATTCTTACCTAACCAGGATATGGTTCACGAGGCTACTAGAATTGAATTACCTGTACAATATACGCAATATGAAGAACAGGTGTATAACTAGCTATCATAGGTCAGGTATGTCATAACAGGTGTACAACTAGCCATCATGGGCCAGGTGTATCATAACTGGTGTATAACTAGCTATCATGGGTCAGGTATGTCATAACAGGTGTATAACTAGCTATCATGGGTCAGGTGTATCATAACAGAATGGCTGACAATACACATTCTTTTCACTAAATACATATAAAATAGTATCAAATATTTATAAACAATAACGTAAGAATGTTTACAACTAATCACCTACCTCAAATTGAATGTTTTTGGTGATAATAGAGAACGTTGAAGAATTATAGTGGCAATAACAGGTGAACCACAATGCACCACAAAAATATGTTTGGTAGCCGGAAATGACTTTACTTTTTCTAACACTGTTTACACGTCACACACACTTAATGGAACTCTTCCCTGACACACTGAACCGAATCATTCACTTTGTAAATTGAAAGTTTATTCATCTTCCTTCTGATTGTAGATCTATTTATTCATTGTATTTCTTCTTTTTTATTGCGGAAAATTCATCCAAACAACCAGATTATAGTGAAATTATCAAAAAGTTTCGTGTGCTGTATGTTGGTGGGGATCGTTCATCCCTCTTCTGTGAGGAGGTAAGAAGCGGCTCCACCTTATCACTCCTATGATCGTTCTCCCAAGGCATATGGAAGACCAGTTGGCGGCCAGTCGTTGTCTTTGTTGACAATATCCAACCTTTCTGAAACTCTTCCTATCCGTGTTTCTCTATAGCTCAGGGTAGTACTGTGTAGAACTGCTTGCTATAGTGTGTGTGTGTGTGTTCCTATTTGCATATATATATATATATATATATATATATATATATATATATATATATATATATATATATATATATATATATATATATATATATATATATATATATATAATATACGATCTAGGTATATGCTGATAACCACAAGGAAAGAAGAAAACACGAAGTTCCCAAGCGCTTTCGTGTAATTCACATCTTCAGGGGTGAGTACAGACCCCTGAAGATGTGAATACAGCAAGCAATTATATATATATATATATATATATATATATATATATATATATATATATATATATATATAATTTTTTTATTTATTTTTCTTTTTTTTAAGGTAATGAGCCCATCCAGGCACAGTTCACTGACCCACATCGGGGCCTGGGGGGCGAAATAATAATAATAATAATAATAATAATAATTATTATTATTATTATTATTCAGATAAGTAAAATTTATAATAAAAAAAATAATGATGATAATAATAATAATAATAATAATAACATTGCAATAACAATAATAATAATAATAATAATAATAATGATAATAATAATGATAATAATAATAAAAATAATAAGAAGAAGAACCATAAAGAAATAAAAAATTAGAAAAAGAAAAATCAATAGTGAGAAACAATATATGTATGTTGTGTTGTCAATAGTAAGAGAAACAATTGAGACCCTGCAATTGTGTGTAAATGAGGCAGAAAGTCAGATCATCAACCTGGGACTTGGTCACATATGGCAGCAGGGTCTACCATTAGACAACACATTATGTTTCCAATATAATCTCCAAGGGCTTAAAATTCCTCCACATATCCTCATTTTTTCACACGACACGACACGACACAACACGACACAACACAACACGACACAACACAACACAACACAACACACCACAACACACCACTTTTTTCTACAAGCTGTTGAGTTTCCCCCCTGAAGAGACTGGCGAGAAAGACGCTTTCAATTTCAACTCAGTAGTGAAGATAATAATAACAAAGGGAAAATAATAAAACCTGTAGAGAGAGAGAGAGAGAGAGAGAAAGGAGAGAGAAAGAGAGAGAAAGTGAGAGAGAGAGAGAGAGAGAGAGAGATCAAGTGTCTATTATTCACTATAATTCACATCCCTGTCTGTCTGTCTTTCTATCTGTCTCTCTGTGTGTCTGTCTGTCTGTTTGTCTGTCTGTCAAAGCCCCGGGCGAATGTAATAACAATATGACACAAGAAGGACCTCAGGTATATATACACCTCAGTATACCTTTCACCCTCAGTCGCTTCCTTAGTCGTCCAAAGGAACAACAAACTTCCCAGGTAAACACAATTACTCATAAAACTTAACAAAACACTAAGTCAAATGTTCTTATATTATAAAAATATATATATTATACTTCATATATATTTCACTGTGTATAAGTTAATTAGAAAAGAATATATGAAATTTATTGATATGAAAACGTATATTTTTTTTTTCTATTTTTACGTGATTACAAAGGTGTTGTTTTTTTAAGGTGAGTTTGTATTAATAAATTAACTATATCATTATCGTCTCGTAGTTGCAATGTATTAATGGTTGTATTATTCACCTGGCTTGAGTTTTATCTTTTAGTTTACTATGAATGGTGTAAAATATGCTTCAAGTTTGCTCTTTTCTTACCTGTAATTACGTCAAGCAGGTGGTCGTGTTGTGAAGCAGGTAAAAAAAAAACCACACACTTACTTGTTACATTTTTTTCTTTACTAATTCTGTGATGATTTTCCTAGTTGCCACACACACACACACACACACACACACACACACACACACACACTTCTTATTTCCTGTTGTTTTTGTGTATATAAGCCAGTCATTGACATTTCTGCCCCGGAAGTGCTTACACTTTCTGAACGTGGAAACACACACACACACACACACACTGAGACTAACAAACCACCTACCTGACATTAACCTGTGTATTCAACTTGTACTCAGAACATGCCAGGTAATATGGATGTGGTGGTGGTGGTGGTGTTGGCTGTGGTGGCGGCGACTGTGGTAGAGGCGACCTTTAAATTCGGAAAGAAAGAACGCTGCTACCCTCAGATATACTACGTGCCACACTACCTTACACACTACGAGAAGGTGAGTGAATCCTGCAGTGTAGTATCCTATTTCATCCTAGAGGTGAGATATCCTATAGTTACCTGTGTGTGTGTGTGTGTGTGTGTGTGTGTGTGTGTGTGTGTGTGTGTGTGTGTGTGTGAAAAAAACTAACATAATTATTTTAAAGACTAATGTTTGTGTATATGAGACGTGATAATTTAAATGGAGTGTAATGAATCTGTCAGGTTAGGTTAGGTTAGTTTGTTGACATTATTTTGGTGTGTCAGTGGTGTTAATGTCGATGGTTAATGGTTCTGTTACAGGTGCCGGTCTACCACACAGTCTACCAGGAACACGTCATCCCTACCACCATCTACCACACAGTACAGGAAACTCGCTACCAGAACGACTACCACACACATTACGTTCCAAATTACGTAACTACGACGGTCTATAAAACCACATATGAATACGTACCTTACTACCAAACCCAATACCAAACCACGTATGTACCTTACTACGCCACTACCACACAATATATACCAACATACGTCACTGAGAGCCAATACCAAACCACGTACCAAACGACATCTCAATACCAGACAGTTTATAGTACTCAGTATACGCCTAACTATATCACCACTACCAATATACAGTACCAGACAAGCTACCATACTGAAGAGGTACCAGAATACCACACAGTGACCCATACCGAGGAGACATACCGGACAGTTTGCCCGCGATCCTCCTATGACTATTATTAAGTACCATACACCTGATACCAGACACCAGACACAAGACACCTGACACCAGACACCTGACACCAGACACCTGACACCAGACACCAGACACCTGACACCTGACACCACACACCAGACACCTAACACCTGATACCAGACACCAGACACAAGACACCTGACACCAGACACCTGACACCAGACACCTGACACCAGACACCAGACACCTGACACCTGACACCACACACCAGACACCTAACCTAACCACACTATCATCCTCACTTATCTTCCTGAGGTGAAATACGATATATATATTTTTATTATGTTGACTTTATATATTTTTTTAAATGTTACTTGAGGTTAAATAAACATATATTTTGACCTTATATTGTGTTTGATGTTAATTATAAGACTATTTAAGCTGTTTTGGGGGTGTTATTTACGTGGAAGTTTTAACACAAATGGATTAATAAAACCTTGTGAAAAATGTTTGGTTAAGTGAGAGAGAGAGAGAGAGAGAGAGAGAGAGAGAGAGAGAGAGGAAAAACCGTACTTCCTTGATACAAGGCTCAGTACTTGGACCATTATTATTTATTATATACATAAACGACATAGATATCGGCATAGACAGCAACATAAGTAAATTTGCTGATGACACTAAAATAGGGAGTGTAATTAAATCTGACGAGGACTCCGCAAAACTACAGGAAGATCTAAACAAATTTTTCGAATGGTCTGAAAAATGGCAGATGAGATTCAATGTGGGCAAATGTAAAAGTACTCAGTATAGGAGATGTAAACAGGGAAACCAGTTACCAGATGAACAACAATGCCATTGTGGAATCCGACTGAGAGAGAGAGACTTAGGATTAATGATAAGTAGGAACCTTAAGCCAAGTAAACAATGTGTATTTGCTCGTAACAAGGCTAACAAAGTA